AAGCAAGACAAGACCCAAAAGTGATCTATTTCTGGTGAAAAAGACAGAAAAATTGCCATTTCCAGTGGGGGGATCTACTGGTAGATAATGTGGAGCAGCATTTCTCAACCTTTTTTCAGTCACGGCACCCAAGTATGCAAAATCTCGAGGCATCGCCGCCTAAAATGTAAAAACCATAAAAGTAAAACTGGAAAAAAAAAGAAGATGTTTGGTCTTCCTGCCCCCAAAATCAACACCAAACCCGTATCCTAGGCAGTAGTAGTCTGGTATGGATTTAAAGGAGGGGGCAGGAGTAGTGGGGGGGCCAGGTGAAACAAAAAGATGATGTGGAATTTCCCCGCTTCACATCAGAAGTCCCCTTTACAAAAATTTGAAGGCACAGCTGACAAAGCCAGAAGGCACCCCAGGGTGAGAAAGGTTGACATAGAGCATGCGGGAAAGATGCAGAATTGAAGACAGCAGCTGGCTGGACTCTGGCTCCGCCTCCAGGAGAAGGGTATTTGTCGGTTTGCTGATCTTTAATTGGCAACACTAAGGGGAAGCTGGGGACGTCGGGCCTGTTTTTACGTTTGATTACCCTCCCCCACTTATTTGACTGAGCATACCATTATTTGATTATAAAAATTGTTTGCTTAGTGCTTCTGTCCAGGGCCAGTCCTGTGATCTCTACCCCAGGCATATACAAAGAACAGGAATTAGTGCAATTGTGTATTCATTAGAAGCGATCAGTAAATTTGTAAAGGAACCTCTCTCTCCCCATACACCTGTCTTACCTGCACTACCTCACAACTCCTTGCTTCTTCACAGTCGGTGAGAACACCCATCACCTCCGGGACACAGAGGAGCATGGGACTTGCTCCTCTGTGATGACGCCCCCCCGGGTCTACGGGGTCTAGCAGTGAATCGCTAGGTCCAGGCACTGTCACATAGATGAACTCTTTGGAGGGAATTGAAAAAAACTGGAGCAGTTGCCCAGGGCAACCAATAAGCTTCTCTCTTCAGTTTGTTCAGCTTAGGTTTTAAGCTGATTGGCTGCCATGCACAGCCGCTCCAGATTTTGTCTGCTCCCGTTTTGATAATTTCCCTTCTTTATCTTTGCAAAGGGTCCCTATCCCAGTGCCACTGTCATGGATGAAGACATCTGGAACCTGTTAATAGGTAATTGTTCCAGTGGCCTTTCTCTCAAAGGAACAAAATAGCTGAGCTGCATTGTCAGGTGTATGTCTGCTAAAAGTTCCCCCATCTACACAAAGCCCAACCTGGTCACATCTCCATGCACATATTTTAGCAAATCCAAAGCCATATTACTATGAAGAGAACATCAAGACCCTACAATATTGAGGTTTAGAAGACTGGGTTGGTCATGGTTCTCCAGCATGAGTTGAACTGATGTAAACTGGTAGCCAAAAAATGTTTCAAAACACCCCCGGGGGCAAACTGCATTCCTAGCATCGCCATGAGCGGTCTATAAACATTTCTAAGGAAGCAGTAGGATACTGTGCAAGAAGTATTCATTACCTAAACGTTTCTGTCGCAGCTGTACCTGTAAATAATTATTCAATCTGCCATTCTGGCACCGGACACATTACGGGTAATTTCAAAGAGAGGCCTACTTTTAAATCAAACAACGGGGCTTAAATAATAAGACTGCTCAGCCTATACAAAGCCCAACACCAACTTTGCCACTCTGAGCTCCGGTCAGGCATCTGTCTGCACTTAGAGTGCAAAGTGAGCTGGATTATATAAACCCCACATTGGCACGGTATATGCTGGTACTGGTGGTAAGCAGCATTACTGGACAAAAAAATGGAAAGAAAAGGAAACAAAAAATAGTTGCAAGAGAAAGCCCAGCACTAGCAGCTCACTTTCTGTCTCAAGTCTACCTGAGCTTCCATAGGAGACATAAATGCTCAGCAGAGTAACAGGGTGTGACTCATTCAACATCACAGGCTATTCAAATAAAAGCAATAAGGGCCTCTTGGGAAAGGAGGGGGAGCCCGAGGTTCTAATTGCTGGTTTCAAGTAGTAATTGTGACGTATTTCATTGCAGTATATAAATGTATCTGATTTTTTTTTTAATGTATAGAGCGTTTGTAATTTTTTTTTTATTCCTCAATATTCAGTAATAAAGAATGAGATATATACATAACCAGTCTGCAAACTTTTTTAGGCCTCGTTCACATGAGAAACGGCCGGCACGTACAGCTCCGTGCTGAGTGCAGGGCCGTATCGGGCAGCTCCCAGGAAGGACATGCTGCGGGAAGGAAGCCCCTGTCCTTCTCTATGGGACTACGCGGCTGTACGCTGACCCCAAGTGCAGGTCTGTACGGGTGTAGGTGTCCCTGCTTGGACTCAGACAGGATCCATCCGGTCAGCGTATGAGTACGGACACCCGCACGGACGTGCAGGGTGGGTGGGCGTAGGGCAGCGTACTTCCATAGAGAAGGACGGGGGCTGCGCACTAATCACACGCAGCACCTGTCCTTCCTGGCAGTGGCCCGATGTGGCCGTGCACGCTGTACGTGGCGGCCGATTCCAGTGTGAACGAGGCCTTTTAGTACACTCTTCAACTATGTATGCCTTGCAATTTGTTCTAAAGTACAATTATCTTTTGCTGGGATGCTCCACTCAAACATATATGTTGAAGAGTTTACATACTCTCAGGATAGTTGGTGAGATGCTGGCATTTGAACTTTGGGAGGAGATTTGGACGCTCGGAAGAAACGCAATGAACATCACCTGCAACAACCAATCAGGTTTCACGGTTCAAATGAGCTCCACCTGTGCGCCATCTTTTCTATATCACTCCATTGCAGAGTTGTAGAGCACAGTAGGGGCATCACATCTGCATAGCAAAATAATCCAGTCGGCTCCTCATCTGCTTATTGCTGTCTAATGGGATATTTGGCCATGAATAGTTATCTGTCCACAATGGTCAGAATGATCGATATATTTAATCCCATTTGGTGCCTGTGCGAGCTAAAAAAAAAATCCCCCATACATATCTCATATTCCTCAACTGAATCATGTAAAAGAGGGCACAGTAACAATCATGTATATATGTAAAGGTTAATGAGATCATAAGACAATATTGAAGGTCTTGTATAGACAGGGTATGGTTTATAAATGCTGTGTGTGGAACATGAACGGCCCTCGGTAGAATCTACTGCGTCCGAAGAAACGCAAAGCAGCCTCAGAAAGGTCATTCAAATTACACAATTAAAACTCATTAAAAAAAGCTTTAATTTTTTTTTTCCTTTCAGGGTGATAAAAGGCATTTTCAAGGCAGTCTGGCCTCGCAGATGTCTTTAAAGAAATGTCAGCTAGGAAGTAGGATTTCCCCAGCACCCTGCCAGACAGGGATGAGGAAAGGGGGGCTGAGCAGAGTGTTTCTACCATTTCCCTAAGCTCCTGCAGCTACCGCAATGTGCTGTCAATCTAAAGGGTTGTGGGCGGAGCTAGGTGTAGCTGTTCTCTGATAGGGTTATCAAATGTGCCAACATTTAAGCAGCTACAGCAGCAGCAACAGTAACAACATTGCAGAGATTGCACTGCAGAGGGAGAAAGTGTTGACACCCTGTCAAAGAAGTGCCTATCCAATGGTTCTACTGGAAGGATCAACAGCTATTTACAAGATGTTCTAGGGCAGTGGTGGCGAACCTTGGCACTCCAGCTGTGCCAAAACTACAAATCACAACATGCATCTGCCTATGGGAGTTATGTCTGTGGCTGTCGGGGACTTGCAATGCCTCATGGGACTTGTAGTTCCAAAACAGCTGGAGTGCCAAGGTTCGCCACCACTGTTCTAGGGCCATCCATACGTGCATTGCTTACAGCTCCTTCGCTTGTCCTATAGAGGTGCCATAATGACATCACATTTGGGCTCCCAGCACCTCTACAGGGCATGCAAGGGAGCTGTACAAGTAGAGCACATATAGATGGAGGTCCCTCACAGCACAGCAGCCCACACTGTACCCCAGGTTGAGGATCCACTCCAGTTCTCGTAAGGTAGGGATACCAAGGACAAATGTGGGTCCTGAGGTTACACAGGTTGAGAACCACTGTTCTAGGGGTGTACTTAGAAAAACAGAGAGCCCGGTCTTACTGGCCTACGTCACATGATTATATACTCTGACCATAGTTCTTCTTGTAGACCTGGAACTGAAGCAAGCTTCAAGCACGAGTAAAACACATAAAAACAAAGCCCATCTGCACAAACCCCTAAATGAAGCTGGTAGAGTGGTGATGGTGGTGGGGGATATTTTGCAACACTCAGCTGACTTCTTGTCCAGTAATCCCATAAAAGAAAACGTAGAACTTTGATTATGTTGCCTTCTTATGTCTAACATGGCGGCCTACATGGGGCAGTAGGCTGCACAGCAACCTGACAAAACCAATTATTTTCCACTCTGGCTGGTTGGTGTACTTTTACATAATAGTGTTTGTTACTAGGAGCTCTTTAACATTTGCATATAGTGTACATTTTTTTTGTTTTTAGCTATAGTGGTCCTTAAAGGCCCTATGTTAAAGTGTATGTGTAGCTAAAAGCTTTTTTTAGTGTTGGCTGTAATTGGGAAGGGTTCAAACCCCTTATCATATAATTTTTTTTGCTGTCTGTCTCAGTTTGGGAAATTTACCTTCACTTCCTGCCCCAGAGACCCAACAGGAAGTGAGAGTACATTTCTACAAAGGGAGGGGAATTACGCTCTTAGACAGCTTAGTCACCATCACCTCTTGCTTTAATCACAATGAGAGGGTGAGAAAGACAATAATAAAGCCTTTGGGGTTCTCACTCTTCCCCACTCTATCCAAGATTTTAAAAAAAAATAGTTTTTGCTATACATACACTTTAATTCCAAATCTGAAGATTCCATATAAAGATTAGCACTAGGATCATACAAACAAAACCCCTCGGGCTCTTCCCATCCAAACAGATTGCTATAAACTATGAACATTCTGTGCTTCTGTCAGACATAAAGTGCATCAGAGTAACACAGATCTATCAATCATATCCAACGGGTTTATTGTGAGTCTCTCCTATCGGGCTCATGAGACTGCTGCCATTAGCTGGTCCTTGAATAGAATGGCCTCCATTAGCCCTGCCATCGGACTGGTAGAGCACGCAGTGCTAAGCTCCATGCTGTCTACAGTCTCTTGTGTCCCTGTGTGTCTTCTCAGGCGTCATCATGCCACCAGGCCAAGTCGTGTGATCTTGGCAGAGAGGAAGGAATGGATGATAAACACGATGGGTTTCGGGCAGCACTGGAGATCCAGCTGCTGTGGGGACATAAGGAATGTGGTTATACAAAAGACAAATCATTGTGTGGCTTCACTATATGCCAAGAAATGTTCCCCAAGACAAGAGAGAGGAAAAGAAGAGGACCCTCAACCTAATTCCAATATCTCTGAAGTCACAGACATTCATTCACCATCTACTCCATAACCGGCCCTATCAAGCCGAGAGCTAGAAAAGAAGAACTATAGTGGCTGATGTAAATGTTCCCCAAGACAAGAGAGAGGAAAAGAAGAGGACCCTCAACCTAATTCCTAAATCCTTTTAGCACCAATATGTGGCAACAAAAGGAAGCTTCAAATCTTTCTGACGTATTAAATAGAGTCAACATACAATGTCAATATGAAAACAATTTGGCATAAAAGGACGAGTCTCATGAAACGTTCCACTACCAGTGCAACAACTGGTTAACCCAACATAATGCCTTGATCATGATATCATTTATTGTAGGATAATGATAACCCGATATGATATGCCTCAAGCCAAACATTAGTCTAGTAGAGCTGTGATATTCCCCCTCTTCATTCCCCTGCTCCTATACCTTCCTTTTCCCACTTCAATTGGTATGGTTCAATGCAACTGGTTCTGTATTCTGTCTATGACATGTTTTATTGTCAACTGTAGAATTACTATTGAAAGTAAAATGTTCCAAAGACAAGAATATACAGTTGTTCAGCTAAATGTAATAATAACAAGTAACAATAGGATAAAGCTGTGACCATATGAGCGTACAATCTGGATTAGCAGCCTTTCTCAACCAGAGTTCCTCTAGTGATTGCTAGGGGTTCCTTGAGCAATTTCTTCCTCCCAGATAGGTTACCTGTCAAACCAATGATCTTTTCAGCTGTCTATAAGGTGGGCATTTTACCCAATGACCGCCAATGCTAAAAGTATTCTTCTTAATAACCCCACCAGTGTAATGGGGCCGTGCTCTGCTGGCCACCAATCTTAGGGAGCCCTTCTCCAATGACTAACATAATAACTCCAAAGACATGCTGACTCCAGTCTAAGTTGGCCCTAGTATGTGCGTTGCATGTATGTCTTAGATTGTAATCTCCTTACACTGGTGGTCATTGTAGTGCCCCTTGCATTGGTGGAAAGTGTAGTGCCTCTCACATCGATGGTCAGTGAAGTGCTATATATATTTATTATTACAGGTATTTAGATAGCGCCAACAATGTACGCATCACTTGACATACTGCACATTCACATCAGTCCCTTCTTGATGGCAGTACACTTTCCACCAATGCAAGGGGCACTACAATGACCACCAGTGTAAGAGCACTAAACTAACGACCAGTATAAGGGGCACTACACTAACAGCCAGTGTAAAGGGCACTACACTAACAACCAGTGTAAATGAGTACTTCACTGACCACCAATGTAAGGGGCACTACACTGACCACCAATTTATGGGGCACTGCACTGACCACCAATGTAAGGGGCACTGCAATTACCATCAATGTTTGGGGCACTATAATGACCACCAATGTAAGGTGGACTACACTATCCTGGGTCTCAAATATCCTAAGTATGCCCCATTCCTTATTATTTTATTTGTTCCTACATTCAAAACTTGCTGTTCATGGTAATGCACCCTAAGGTGTAGATATACAGTATTTATAAGCAGAGGTTCCCTGAGACCTGAAAGTTTTTGAAAGGTTTCCCTGTTTCAAAAGGTTGAGAAAGGCTGACCTAGAGGCATAAAGATGTGAAGCAGAAGTAAGGGAAGTCAGGAAGGTGTACATAAGGTGTGTATGTCTTGTCAGAGGAGGAAGCAATGATCGATTGGTGACTGAGTGGATCGATGGTTTACTGGTTTGAAGAGCCAGGTGTTCCCAAAAGCTTAAAGAGTTCCACATTAGAAAGACTTCCAGAGGATAGGAGAAGTCTTAGATGCAAGAGTGTTGAGAGTGGCGGAGAGGTGGTGGTCACGTGTGTAATGGTGGTTCCATTTAGGATGGAATACATGGAAATCAGCACGGAAACAGCTATAGATAATAAAAAGATAATAGAAGATAATAAATGAAAATGTAACTTACAACGTCTCCATCCTTGTTACCAAAGTCTAAAAAGAGCATTTTGATTCCATCGTCGGAGGACATTTTTAGCTTGTCATACGAGTACTGTGCTAAGATCTTGGTGAAAGTACCATCGGGAGCCTGCGTCACGATAGAGAATCCATGCTCGTAGTTGATCACTAATCGGCAGTCTTGGCCCTTGTAAGCACACGCTGAAAGGCAGAAAACAAATGCAACTTAGAGCTAACCGTTCTGAAAACCATGACAGTAGCACATCTTTCGGGGACGTTGGAGGAGTTTGATGGTTGAGTCTAAGGGCAGGACAAAACTTTAGACTGGAGCTGCAAGGATTTTAAGATCGGTCAAATGGTCTCCGCTAAATGCAGTGGAGACAGATATCCAGACAGAGCTAGCCAGTCAGCAACTCTGCCTTGACTTAAACCCTTTCTTCTCTGAAGGTCATGTGACCAATGCCTTGGCATTATTTATGTGACCGGGCACTGGAAAGTTTTACAGAAAACATAACCTTGGAACGTGGAATACATTTACAGTTATAAACATGTGAACAACCTCTAAACAATGCAACATTACCATTGCTTGCTGGAAGCAATGCATGATGGGCTATGAAATCCTGAGAAATGGAGATTACATCACATCAAGCAGCAGGGAAAGAGACGCAAAGCACACTGGAAATCCAGGAAGTTGCTGGAAGTGATGGGCAGACACAAGGCAGCACTCACTACATAAAAGGGATTTTTTCATGTAAGCTTTGATTGTATTATCAGAAACATCTCTGCTATGTATTCCTATTACAATGCTGATGTTATAACAGGAGAGAACATGCCGGGACTTTACAACTCCTTTAAGATTCTCAAGCTGGTATAGGACACCACTGTACTACACTGAATGTTCCCTGGAGATGTGGGTTGCATGAAGTGAATCTCTTGCATTTATGTTGGTCCTGTGATTGGTGAAAAATTCACTTTGCAATATCAACTGGCCCAGCCTTCTTGCTGCTTCACCATAACATATGGTGCCACATTTAATCTGCACCCTGGAGCTATGGTAACAACATTGCACGCCTGCACATTACAGTTCCATTGTCGGCTATCGGACTGTGTACCGGCCAGGAGATGGAGGTAGATGAGTCTCACGATAGCCTATGGGGTTGTAATACCCAGGCACAGCCAGGAGAGGGAGACTTGTGATGTGGGATGTAACTGATCCCTGGAGGTTGTAGGCAGCAGATCTCGGTAAGTATACATCTGTTGAGGGGGAAGGTGGGTTAGGACAGGTCAGGGCACTTTGTTTTGTAGTGCATTATTCCTTTAAGGACAGCAACACAATAGCAATGACTGGTTAACTAGACCGGTGAAATGGCTCCAATTGTATCATTAATCTCTATTCTTCCTCCCTGACAAGGATGCGGGGGTTGGCAGATCGGACTGAGCTATCATTAGCTCTGTCCGGCGGCCAGCCCGCCCAGTTCACTGATGTCACTGGTTGGATGGACACAAGCCGGAGCATCCCCGCTCAGCTCCTGGCAACCAATGACATCAGTGAGCTGGGCGGGAAGCTGCACCCAACAGAGCGTCACAGGTTGCTAAGGACTCCCCTGCTGTCCTTCTGCCTTAGAAGCTGGCTGTCAAGCATATCATCTCTGTAGATGCCCCGGCAAACTCTGCCTCGCATTTGGACACCTTTCTGGTGGAATGCACAGTGAACGTTCCATTGTGAATTCAAAAAGACAAAAAAAACAGCTGCGGGTGGATAAAAACATTTATTTATAGATGTTCATTGGCCCTGAGATTCAGGAAGAGGCGGAGCTATAATCCATATGTGTTTTGCTGCTATGGTGCCAGGAAAATGAAGATTTCCTGTATGGATGCGCTGAAAGAAGAAGTCACTTCCTCCTAGTCTGTAGCCTCCTTTAGCTGTGATGCCGGGAATCAAGACAACAGCATTGTTTTGCTGGGGAAAAAGTCAATGTATGTATGTGGAGAGGACGGCTGGAGTGGGAAGGGCTGAGTTCTGTAGTCCAGACCCAGCGCTGCTTGGTATTCAGCACAGCAAAGGCACTGTGTTGTCAGCCCAAACAGGAAGTTAGGAGCACACTGCATTTGTAGCAGGTATTGATCTGTACGTGCAGAGTTTTTAAAGAGGTAAACATGGTGGAATATACATGTGTTGCAGTGATGTACTGTACTGTTTTTTTTCTCTTTTTAGCGGGTACTTACGAGTGGTGATCTCTTTAATGCGCTCGGCAGAATTATGGCAGCCTTGCACAATCTGCCTGGTCCACAGTGACAGGTCCCTGCTGGTCTCCACTCTGAACAGGTGAGTCTCAATCCCTTGCCTGGAGCCGGTACGCGTTGCAAATGAAAACTCCGCACCAAACAGAGAAGACCCTTTCCCTGGTCCTGAGTGCACTAGCCTGAAATAGAATAGAGAGACGTGCGAGGCATTAGCCGGCAACCAGAGGACACTCACTGAGCCATGGAATTCAATTTGTTATCATTCCAAACTGAGATTTATTGCAGGTTTACCATACACAGTAGAGGTACGCAGAGTACTAGTATGATGCTATAGTTAACAAAGTACTACAGTATATTGATAGGATATACTTTTATTGGTGATATAGAAATGCATATAAAGCTCTGTCCCCGGAATGCATAAAAAGTGCCGCAGACAGCTCCGCATGACAAATGTTGGTGCCTGTGACAAATTTAAATAACTGGTGGAAACATGTACATGAATTTGTTGCATGGAGGCATTGTGGGGGTGACACTGGGGCCGGAGTGTCCATACCGTGAACACTCCATCCTCACTGCATGTTCATCCTCCAGACTGTGCAGTGTCATTGGTTGCTATGAGGCTATTGGCAGCACAACGTCCTTGGTTGTTATGGAGCTGTCGGCTGCACACCATCCTTGGTTGCTATGACACTGTCGGCAGCACAGTGTCCTTGGCTGCTATGATTCTGTTGGCTGCACAGCATCCTTGATTGCTATGACACTGTCAGCTGCACAATGTCCTTGGATGCTATGACACTATTGCTAGCATGGTGTCCTTGGTTGCTATGACGCTGTCGGCTGCACAACATCCTTGGTTGTCGTGACACTGTCAGCTGCACAATGTCCTTGGATGCTATGACACTATCGACAGCATGGTGTCCTTGGTTGCTATGACGCTGTCAGCCTGCACATCATCCTTGGTTGCTATTACACTGTTGGAGGCACTGTGACCTTGGTTGGTATGGTAATGTGAAGCTGACAGCATCCTAGCGACCAAGAACACTGTTCTGCCGAAAGCATCCCAGCAACCAGCGCCGGGGAGGTGTAGGAGCACAGCCCTATTACTCCAAAATGACATTGGTCTAATTATATATATATATCTTATCTCTGATCTGGTAATATTTGTTACTGAATCTGTCGCAGCCAGAAACTGTTCCTATCAGGAACTACTTGAATTTGTCATTCGTTGGAACAAGCAAGGAAACTGTCACATTTCGATTCTGGAATTATTGGTGTTTGCCGAGGGAAAACCACATTCAGTGTTAGAATGTCGTTTTAAAAAACATTTCCGCCCTTTCATTTTTTTTTTTCTTTCTGCGGTCGAAATTGATTGTTGATTTGACCCCTTTAACTATTAGAAAGTCAAAAAGGTCCGAAAAGGAATTATGTGGAATGAAATTCTATTGGTGTATGGCCAGCTTTAGTCATCCCCTTGTGCTACAGAGCTGCTGGTCGATCTTAGGCAGATTGGGCAATCAGGCTGAGCTGTGTGTGGTCAGTTAAGGAATACGCCACTGTCATATAAATGAGTACGAGCAATGTATAAAATGATCAGCCGGGAAAGTGTGATTTAAAGATCTGTGCCAGACCCGGACTCTCGCATCACAGAAGAAATCCGTGAAAAAGCAAAAACTTACCCTCGCAATGGGGCTAGGCTTCCACTGCATGGGTTAAGTGCTCATTTTGGGGGCTCAGATAAAGCAAATACACTCACCTATGGCAGTCAGCGCTCACCTCTCTCCCCTCTGTTCTGGCTATGGAAAGTCTCTTGGCATCCTCGCATCTAATGCAGGTCAATGGACATGTATAAGACGAAATGATGTCAGCGGTGCTTAGACCGCCAGAGCCCGAGGGAGAGGAGGCTGTGTTGACCGGTCTAGCAGCTAAACGGGACTGAGGATCAGGTGAGTATATCTGCTTTATTTCAGCCCCCTGGAAAAAACAAGCACTTAACCCTTGCAGTGCGGCAGTAGCTCCACTACAAGGAAAGATTTTGACATTCCCGGAGTTCCATAATAAATGTAAGATGTAACTGTTTATGTCGGGGAGGGTCTCCGCTGCTCTCAGAAACGTCGGCGCTGTACATTATAACTGCTCCATTGTGACATTAAATACACCCTGTGCATCCTCACCCTGCAATTATACGTTGGTGCTGGTAATAGGAGGCGTTCTCAGTGATCATTCTCCCGACACGTCTTTCTTTTACAACCAAGAAAATATTGCTCATTACAGAGCTTATTTTTGAAGGGTGACATTGACGTAGTATCAAACGTCTAAACTTTTTATCAATAATGAATATACATTGCCCAGCAAAATATTTCTTTCATTTTGGCCCGAACACTTACAGTCATCATGTTTCCAAACAGCTCCAACTCTCTCAGCTCAGCTTCCTTGAACTTCCTGTCCAGTACAAGATCACAAGGGACAGAGCAGACTACAGCAGTTGTCCATCTACTAGCCTAAAGAAGGGAGGGAAAAGGGGAGCAGGGAAATGGCTTGCCTTGCTGTGCTTGTGCGTTTGTGGAAACACAGAAAGGTGGCTCCATGGGTCCTTGCAAGGGAAAGGAGCCACCCTAAAACAGGATCTCAGGGCCAGTGCTCACGGGACCATCTAAATCTGCAGGAAACTACAACTTTTTAAACATCAAGAAGAAACCTCCATTTTAAGCACCATTTACATGATGTCCTAGGTCCAAATCAATTCCCAATTTTCGGCCTGGCCCCACCTACTTAGCAGTAAGCCCCATCTCTTTTTTTCATGGCTGCTGCGGGTTGATTTGGTGTGGGTTTTACACACTGATAATATGGCAAATTGTATATCGGAAGCAATCGGATAGAATTTGCTCTGCCAGTGCTAGCGTGATAGTATTTTATCTCTGTGAAATGTCGTTTTTATCGTCATGATAGAAGATGTCAAGGTAGAAACGTCAAACTAGTTTAAAGCTGAACACAACACCAGTCACATAAGTTACCCTAAAACATTGTACCCCATGTCCTCCCGGCTGCTGTTTACTGTAAGTATCCTTCCTCCATTGATAGAAGATACTCTCAACTGTAGTAATCTACTGGCACTGCGGGGGTTAGGAGCTGTGGCTACGACTATCACGGATTGTGCCTTTAGCTCTCCCCCTTCCTGTTGCCTCGTCCATTCACAAAACCCCTTGTATTATTTTCCCAGAATGCAACATGTTCTGTGAATGGATAAGGGGCGGTCCAGTCATTCATCCTCCCTCCTCCATTCACAGAAGGTTGCATTCCAGGGAAATAAAACAAGGACATTTGTGAACGGACTAGGTACACTTGTATGCAACTTACTACTACTAGCTACACCATGACCTGGATCAATAAGAAGCCTTACAGACATTAAGCTACACTTGTCAATGAAAGAATTGAACGGCACATACCTGGTAGCTATGAGGGGGTAGGTGTGCACGGGACTGTACCAGGCCTCCTTCATACGAGGCATACTGTCATACATCAGTAGATCCTTTTCTGTGACAACCAGTAAAACTCGCTTCCACTGCTTCTCATTCTCTCCTGGGACCTGAAACACAACAAGAGAAACATTATCCAATTTTCTGGGTGGTCTTTTAGGAAAGAAACACATCCATCTAAAAATCATTTTTGCCATGATTTTTGTACTTCTTAATATAGATTATGCTCGTCATAATATTGTGCAGGCATATTTGTAGACATTAGAGTGTGTTCTTATGAGTATGAATGGAAGGAAGGACCCTGTGTTGGTTCATCCTTGCTCTGTGACCCCAACACTCAGATTGACCATGCTTTACGGACCCTAAATGAGAGGCCACAAATGCCATTTATTGTACAACTGGCTATTATGTGATTCCAACAAGTGGAATTTGTGACACCAGATAGGTGGTCTGCCCAGAGTTGACACACTATGTATTATTAGGATTGACAAGGTTATTGACTTGGGTATTCTAGAGCAGGCCTTCTTAAACTTTCTCCACTCGTGACCCCTTTTTGGCTGAGGACATTTTTACGTGACCCCAACCTCAGACAATGTCTCTCTCTCCCTTCTTTCCCCCAGTGTTGGTCGGTGTTTCCCCCCTCCCCTAGCGTCAGTAATT